AGGACGCGGATGTTGTTTATCGTCATACCCGGGAAGAGCCTTCCAGTGGGGAACATCCGTTTATTGTAATCGGTAAAATTATGGATTGTAGCTAGTTTGGTTATTGAGACATTGAATGTGATCAGGTAGTTTTCCCCCATTACTGGCTGTTAGAGCTAGGTCAATAGAGAGATCAGCTGCCTAGCTGTTGTCCTAGAGGGTTTTGGAGGCACACCCATATACTGTTGTAAACTGACAAACGATTGGACGATACTCTTAGGCAGATCATTTATGTAAAGTCAAAAGTTGGTTCCACCAGTTCAGCCCCTTTCAGCTAGGAACAGGCAAGTCACGTACACGTGGTCGAATCAGCCTTATTCACTTCACATTCCTTTGTTAAGGAAGAACTACTCGGACGTTACGTTGTGGAGAAGACTCCGACGAATGCTTCCCTGATCATTATCGTCTTCTTCATATCAACGTGTAACAGAGAATCGGGTCGGCGCGATAAAAGACTTCGAGTTGGTTGTATGTGGTGATGTAAGCACTAGGAGTTGCGTCCCCTTCGACAATGGGCTGTTGAGAGAAGACTTTCTACTTAGATTAGGTGGCGCTGACTATTTGCATATGAATGATACTAGGTGGGTATTAGTCAGTAGTCAGCGCATGTCTAGGACTGAGAGAGTTACATAACACCAGTGTTTTTTTTCCAATCGAAAGAGAGGCTCTCGACGTGCAGACGTACAAAAGCCAGACAAGACGAAAAAAAAAAAAACGGTCAAATGTTATCTATCTTACCTATCGCCATAATCTACACTTCCTCTTCTTGCGTCAATGTAGCGATCTTATTCAGCAACTCTCTAAAGTGAGGTTTTTATTGGATGAACATGTAGTAAAAATAAAAGCAGATAAATTAGAGGAATTGGTAAAAAGCTTGTCAAATAAAGAGGTGAGTGCGATTCATTTAAAAAATCCGGGGATAATTATCAAGCAGATTCAATTTATAACCACAACTCAAAATGGTGAGATGAGGTCATTAAAATTGCAGAAAAAAATATACACCGAAACGAAGAACTGCCGTAAAGATTGAATAACCAAAAATGAATACAAAATTTAAGGTGGGTGCGTAGTCAGAATGAACAATAAAAAATGAAGGCGAATAAATGAATTCAATCAATAAAACTTTCAACTGCACGAATGTAAGCGTGCTACTAGGTTGGCATTTCGGTCCCACCCTTTTATTGCCGAAACAGTTAAATGTAACCGCCTCTTCTACTCAAACAGCTTCTTCTCTCGCACTTCCCGACAGTGGGACGGTCTTCTTCTTAATTGTTTCCCTGACTACTATAATCTTCAAATATTCAAATGTAACGTCAGTCGACATCTTCTGATGCCTTGAACCGGATCACTGTCCTTCTCTATATCCTTTCCTCAAACAAACCTCTTTACTCTTGCTCTCACTTTCTGTAACTCCTTGCGGTCCACTGGCACTTCCGCCTTGCCTGGGGGTAAAATGCTTAAAATAAAAATTAAAAAAAATAAAGAAATTAAAAAAATAATGTTAAAGAAAGGAAGAATTAAAAGGAAAGCACACAAAATATGGTAATAATATATTTAAAAAAAACAAAAACATTATAATAAAAATGTTGATGTAAGGCATGAATCTAAACATGTATAGAAAAAACACCCAGGATGCAAGTGAAAATAAAAATAAAATACGTAATAAAAGAACGACGGAGAACAGAATGAAGCGTGAATGGAAGAATAAAACACATAAGTAAGGAAAGGAAAGAATGATTCCAATTAATAATATAAGATAGATCTATCTAAAAGAAAAAAAAATGGCAAGTGTAAAAAATATGGGTTATTACCTTGATTAATACAATACGAAATGAATAAAAACGTGCATATATATTTGAATGCATTCAGAAAAAAAATATTGTCATGAAGAAAAAATGAAAAGGCACAGTACACTTGAAAGATGCAAAAGAAAGTGAATGGCAGCTTGACAAGCAGGCGGAAGAAAGGATTAACATATACAATAAAATCAAAAATACAGGTGAAAAAAGAGTTTGAGAAATTGAAGAGAAAATAAAAAGAGAAACATGGGCAGAAAATTAGAAAGCTAAAAGGGAAGGTGAAAGACACGTATTAAGAAAAACGGTAAAGTTTACAAATGTACGTAACGTTAAACAAGAATCAATTTGAGTAAATTAAAAAAAAAAGATGTTTGTGATTTAAAAATGGAAGAAGGAAAGGGAGGGACGAAACATGAATCGATCGTAAAGCTTAGAAAAGAACAGAACAAATATTGAAATATTAGAAGGAAAACAATATTTACATTTTAAGTGGGATGCCAAATAAAAATTGAAAGCTAAGAAATGAAACGTGCGATATAATTAAGAAACTATAGGGTGGATAAAATATAATTTACCCTTTTCTTTGGAAAGGTAAGAGAAAAAAAAACAGTAGAATACGAAAAGAATAATGACAGAAAAGAAAACAAGTATAAAAACAAATAAAGAAAGAAAGAAAAATATGACAAAGCAAAGGACATAAATCGAAGAGAGAACGAAAGAGAGAAAGAAAGAAAAATACAAGTAAATTATATAGGGTAAATTATCGCCGTTTTATATTTTTAATTTCGCGCAGGCAAATTCTTTGTTTTGATTTTTTCTACTGCATAGTATACTAGCGTCTGCTGTGCACCGTCCGTGAGTTAAAGAGTACCATAACACAATTCAATCCGAAAAAATGTAAACAACATGCTGTACCATTTGCACTGGAGGCTCCAATACGAACATTTCAGAGTGTTTAGGTGACAATCTGGAGACAATAAATAGGATTCGGAAAGAGTTGAATGAGTCTAATGATGATCACGAAGCTCAGAAAACTCACCTGTACCGTTCTAATAAGACAAGCTATCCCGAAATTGTTTGTAAGGGCCTCACACTCAACATGGAGACCTATATTAAGAGCCTTGAGGACGTAGTGCTACCCTGCTTCAAGAGGGTTGCTGCTGGAAGGCCCTATGACTGGTACCATGACTCTGCACCATGGCACACAATAAGGAGAACCCAGTCATGAATGTCAGCCAATTTCTGCGACCACATCACCACAAACAACTTGACAACCTCCTTGATTATTATGTGAGCGAGAGTCCAAAAAACATTCCTTGTAACACCAACGATGAACTGAAGGCAAGGTTTATGGCAGAATTTGCCAACTTAAACAAGGAGACCGTCCAGAAGAGATGCAGGAGATTCTGAAGTCGTCTGGAGGGCCTGGTTGAAACCAATGGCGATTTTATTGAAGAAAATTAATCTTTGGTATTTCTCGATATTTTTATGTAATTTTGGTAAATATATCTGTTAAAATGAGATGTCAGTGTTATTTTAAGTTTTGCGTAATTTTCATGGCCATTTGTCAATCAAACCCTGTTATGGTAATTTACCGACGCACGCATGAACGATCCCAACTAAAAATAGGAGCAGGTACTGCCTTTTTTGAGGTTGAAGTTTCCAGCAGTCACCTCTGACAGTCAGACCAAACATTCTTGCTGTAACACTCTCGTTTGTATATGTTTGTATTACCGTTTCTGTTAATATATTTGTTTAACTCAATTCCTCTCTTTGTGTCTTTATTTCTGGCCCTATCAAGGTCGCAACAATAAGAAAGAAAGAAAGAAAGAAAGAAAGAAAGAAAGAAAGAAAGAAAGAAAGAAAGAAAGAAACGTATACGAAAGACGAGAGGGAAAAGAGGAGAGATGTACGAAAACGAAAGGACGTAGAAAATAGAGAAAGGAACAAAACAGGACACGGGAAGTAAAGAAGAAAAAGGAAATAACGCAAAAAATAATAGTAAAAAGCAAATAAAAGAAGGATCGATAGGAATAAAGCAAAATCGAAGACATAATGCAAAGATGGAGTTAAATGAAAAAGAAAGAACGGCCATAAGGACACCATATGTACTGTAGCTGCAGTATTAGTGATGTTTCCTGGACAAGATAGCCTATCGTAACCCAAACATCCCCAGATTGGTTTGGAATTCCGAGATTTTTTTTTCCTTTTCCTAGACCACTTGCCACCCAAGGTATCAGGATCCACTCTGACCTACTATATGCCCATGGATGAAATGAGAAGTGATGGGTTCATACTTTTTTCATGTGTATTACAATTAACTATAAATACAAAAATAACAACGACAAAAAAGAAAGATCACGGCACCCGTTACCCATTAGGGTCTGAGCGGCACTACATGCACTGCAGTTGCAGTAGCAATGATGTTTCCTGAGCAAGATAGCCTGACGGAAACCAAACAGAGTTCTTCCTAGACAGTTTTCCACCCAAGACACTAGAACCCAGTCTGTTCGTATTTACCATATTTGCTCATAGATGAGTTGGAGAAGAGATGGATCCATACCTTTCTCTATGAGCATTTAAATGAATGTAATGAACTAGACTGGGAATCGAACTCGGCTCTCCGATTCTAAGCCGTTTGCCCATTACTCTACCTTGCCTGCAGATGAATAGAAAGACGAAAACAGAAAAGAAGAAACAACGGAAAAAGGAAGAACGAAAGAAAGAAAGAGAGAGAGAGAGAAAATAAGAAAGAACAGTGTTAACAAACAAAAAAAACAAAAAAAAAACAAAGAAGAGACGATAGACAAAGCAAAAGGAATTGTCTGAAATAAATAAATAAGTATCAAAATGAAACAAAAAGAAAATTTGCAAGAACAGTATAAGTAATGAAAGAAACAAAGAAAGAAAAAAAAAAAACAGATCTTTGAAAATAAATATTAGGTTGGTGCAAAAATAATGACGTAATAATGTCGTTTTTTGACGTATTTTTTAATGTCAAAAAACGACATTCTTACATCGTTATTTTTGCACCAACCTAACACCAAAAGAAAAAAATAATTTGAGATATATGAAAGGAAAAATATATACATAAAGTAAATCTGTAATGATTTAAAGGGAAGTTTGTAAGACAAGGATGTGTCTTCTTACCGGACTTCTCTCACAATCACTTAACTTTATAGGTTAAATCATATAGAGTTAAGCGATTCTGGGAGAATTAGAAATCATACTATGATTTATTATTAACGGCCACAATGTTAACAACGTAAGATTTACAGATCATTCTGAAAGGAAATTACAAGAACTCCTATAGAAGATTGTAAAGGTAAACGAGAAGAAAGGACGAGCGATCAATTGCAAGAAGACAGAATGCATGGATTTTTAGCAAAAGGAAGAGAGCAACATGCAAATTAGAATTTGGAAATACCGAAATCAAACAAGTTAAATATCTGGGACGTGTTTTGACAGAGGACGGAAAGTGCCAGACCGAAATAAGAAGGTGCTTTTGGATAGTAAAAGATGTCTTTCAAAATCTAAGCAAAACTTTAAGAAACAGGACAATTCCGTTAGAAACAGAGACAAGAGTGCTGAACTGTTACGTAATATCAGTGAACCTTCACTGATGAAGAACAAACTTCAAGCAACAGAAATCTTGTTCTACAGAAGGATGCTGAGAATACCCTAGGCAGAAGACATGGGCTTAGTCGAAGTTTGAGAGAAAGTAGAAACAAAAACGGAGACTTATACTTGGCAGCTGAAATTTCTAGGTTACATAATGAGGGAAGAGGGCTGGACAAATTTGATACTGACAGGACAGTTTGAAGGCAAAGAGAAACAGAGAGAAACAACGCATATCATGCTTAGTGAGCTTCAGTAAATGAATGGCGGAAATATAACGAAAAGACAAATTTATTAAGAGTTACAAAGGGCAGGAAATGGGGGAGATCCATGATATGATCCTTCTTCTTCTACAGCACGTAGAAGAAGAAGGAAAGAGAAAGAGAGAAATGAATACAAAGAAAATATTTGCATGACTAATGAAGGAAAGAAAAGTAAAAAAAGAAAGAAGCCGAGGAAAAATAGAAGCAGGAAAATATTTGATTGATTAGTTTTTTTTTATCAAGACTTTGCAATTTATTTAGACAGAAAATATTTTTACACTATTGTCTTCATCTTTGTCGCCATATTTATTAAAAAGTTTCGGCCGTTGCACGCTCCGGGCTTCTTCAGGTGAACTAAACCCTTTATTTCGCTCACTGGGATAGACTGTTCTAGTTCCACGTGCTATGTTTAATAGATGTCAGTAAACAGTTATCTCCTGTTAATTTCCCTCTGTAAGTTCTCCACTGCCTTAACCGGGTATTGAACTCACTGTCACTTGATCTAACCAACGCCTTTATCCACTGTGTCCTTGAGGACATCTATGTATGAATTTCTGGGTATTATAAACTTAATGTCTCAGCAACCGTTTTTTTTAAGTGCTCATGTTGCAATTTCTGCTGTTATCATTTCATGTTTTTACCAGAGCTCATACATTGTAATAAATATGGCGACAAAGATGAGACCTACATTCCGAATAATGTAAATAGTGTACATAATACCACATCTCAGAAATATAGACAAAATATTTTTTAATTGTGAGAATTTTGTTTTTATATAATAATGATTTACTGATACAAGTCTTCCTAATTAACTCATTACCGAGGAGAATAGACACATCCGATCCTTTCCCAAGGGTAAGTGCATATAACAAACAAAACTTCAATTGAAACTGCAACTTGGCTCTACGATTAAAAATCCAGAGCCATGACCCATTACCACTCGCCACTCCCAGCTTACAACACCTGGTATTCTCAAGCAGTCACCCCTCTAGGTAAGCAGAGACTCGACTTTGCTTAACTTCAGTGATCATATGGGATCACTGTTTCAATATGATATGGCTGTATGCTGCGATCTGTATATCTACTGTCAAGATTAATGAATGGGAACGGTTCCTTTTTTATGATTTATCAACCCTTTGGAGGTTATTTAAAATCAGAAAATATCATTAGATTTTAAGAAAAGTTTATTTTTTTTCAAGATTATAATTTTAATGATACAAGTCTCATTAATTAACCCTTAGCGCAAATATCTTTGTGGCCATAAGCCACAAAAAAAAAAAAAAAAAGAAAAATGTCAGTTAATTGGAAACACCTATTTTTTTTAATGGTGACGAAAAATAAAAGGAGAAAAGAAAGAATACACAAAAAAGATAGAGAGAGAGAGATTTATTCAATTATTCTATATTATGAAAAAAAATAAGCAAAATAAAATCGGTTAAAAATAACTTTTAAATTCAAACTAAGGGAGCTAATTGCTCAGTGAAAAGCGCAAATGGCCCAAGAAAAAAAAAAGAATTTGATAAGGAAAAAAATCAGGAATGAATCCCGTAATAGCCAAACTGATCGGAATTGAATGAAATAAAAATAAAATAAAATCAGAAGGATGGAAGGAAGATCGTCAAACTATAATGGGAAAAAAAGATAGAAGAAATGAAGGAATCTATTAACTCCAGTGCGGTTCCGCCATATTGTCCGAACGTTCGTTGTGGGCCATAAGCCCCGAGGAAAAGCAGGAAAATAGTGAGAAAGGACTTGATGCAAATAGCGAACGACAGGTCCATTCCCCACGACAACAGTCGTAATGAGATGCAAAGGGATAAACAGGCAAAGAGAAATTTGTTTTTTACGATTTCTGACATGCAATCAATGTAATCACATTATGTAATCCAATGTAAAAAGACGGCGACCATTTTGCTTTTTTCTCGTCTATTATATTTTTGGATAGTTTTTGATTTTTAACTTCTTCAGGTTTATTGAATATATGTATATTTACTTTATTTATAGTTTCTTAACATTAGGGCATTCGTTTCGTTTAATATTTATTTTGCTTTATCAATGTGTTATTTGCTTTCATGTTTACATTTTAATTTATTTTCTTTCTCCTTATTCTTTTGGGTAGAAATAATAGTTATCGAAATATCTTCCTACACTTAATAGAGACAAAAAGAAGAACAAAGAGAAGAAGAAGAAGAAGAAGAAGAAGAAGAAGAAGAAGAAGAAGAAGAACAACAACAACAACAACAACAACAACAACAAAAAACAACAACAATAACAAGGAGGAGGAGAAGAAGAAGGATGAGAAGGACGTGAAGAAGATTTTTAAGAAGTTGTACAAGAAGAAGAAGATGGAAAAGAAGAAAAAGAAGAACACGTAGGAGGAGGAGGAGAAGAAGAAGAAGAAGAAGAAGAAGAAGAAGAAGAAGGAGGAGGAGGAGGAGGAGAAGAAGAAGAAGAAGAAAAAAAATTACAAGGAGAGGGAGAAGAAGAAGGATGAGAAGGACGTGGATAAAAATTTGAAGAAGAAGAAGGAGGACGACGACGACGACGACAACGAGGAGAAGAACAAGAACAAGAAGAGCAAAAAGCAGTAGTAGTAGTAGTAGTAGTAGTAGTAGAAGAAGAAGAAGAAGAAGAAGAAGAACCCAATCATGAGCCCAGACAGCGAGACGAGGATACTATTGATCATGGTGAAGATACATTACCCAAAAACAAATGTTGGCAAACTTCGCCATGCTATTCATTCTTTGAAAAAAAAAAAAAACATATGACTCTCCCTTCTTTTTTATATGGTAAAAAACATATCCAATCAATCAAGAAAGAAACTGTACTTTTCAAGAAATAGACTAACATCCAAAAAACACAACGACACAAGATGGAGCGAGCATCATCGACACGACAAGACAACAAACATATTAAGAGGAGAAAATGATAATACACAGAACTACCCAAAATGGATGACGAAAGCAGCCGTTGTCCGATAGAAAATTATCCAATGATCGAAAAACACCTGATTGAAGTTAAGCACCTGATTGAAGGTAAGCACCTGATTGAAGGTAACTAGACAAATATAAGAATAATAAGGTACGATTCTACAAATCAACGATGAAATTATAAAGAAATGGTAACTAGAAAGATTCTTATTCTTAAAATGAGAAAGAAATAGTTGAAATTAGAGTAATAAGAAAGAAGTCTTGGAAAATATAATGCTTATATGGCGTATTAAGCGCGGGGGTTGCGTTTGTGGGAAATGTCAATCAATAAATCTGTCTGACTTGATCGATGGACAGGGACAAATGCGGATGGTAAATAGTTAAATATTGCCCGGAGCTACTCAGGAAGTTGTGAAGGGACATATCCGCCGCCTTTTGAATATACACGGCCTAGAAATAATGATGATTAATATAATAATATTTGGGATAAATTATTTGTATATTTCTCTAGTTTTTTTTTTTTTTTTAGGCATAGATCATTTGTCTTGACCCGGGAATTGTTTAAACGAATAATAATAATAATAATAATAATAATAATAATAATAATGATGATGATGAAGCATATCAGTGGCAGATCTGAATCGTGTTGAAAGCTAAAAACAGAAGGCTTAATTATTACTGCTCAGGACCAAAGCCTCGCAACCTGACCATATCAATGTCACATTATGAAGAACGATGGCATTTTTTTCCCAGGCGCCCAATTACATGAATATAAGCTTGCTACTAGATTGGCAACTAGATCTCACTGTTTTTAGTGTTAAGCTAGCGATATATAACTGCCACTTTTACACCAACAATTTCTTTTCTCGCACTTCCCACCTGTGGAACTCCCTTTCGATTTCGGGATTTCCCGATAACTAATTTAAAATTCAAATTCAACGTCAATGGTCCAATTCTGTATCTTTTTTGTCCTTTATTCAATACTCCCCAATCGCATTCTTCTAATTCACTTTCACTTTCACTTTCACTTCCACTCACTCTACTCCACTGCGTTCTAGTGTCAATGTCGCTTTGCTTCGGATGATACGATAAAAAAGGAAAGTTAAAACGCATTAATAATAATAATAATAATAATAATAATAATAAGTTTGGTGTTCCAAGTGGGTGAAAAAGGGTGAATAAATGCAAGTAAAGCATAATACACCGACTACTGCTGCAAAATATTAAAAAAAGCAATGGCAAATCTATTCAACCAGATACAAAAACATGATAAACCGATAAATAATAAATAAAAAAAATGATAAACAAAAATAAGGCATGATAAACCGCTTTACGGTCAATACTCTGCCCGTAGCAAATAAATTGATGTAGACAAAGCCTTTTCATCAGTGCAAGGTTAAAAACTGAAATCGAAGGTTTTATTCTTGCTGCACAGGACCAATGCTTGCTAAATAGAAATTACCCCGCTCACATACTAACAAACTGTGTTAGACCAAAATGCAGATTCCGTAATAAATATCTAGAAACAAGTGACCATCTTGGATCAGATTTCGTGGTATTGGCGTCCAGTGAATATAAAACTCGGCATGGCAGAGGGGGCACTGGAAAATCTGCAACTTTTACAGAAGGGAAACTGCAAGAAATTGGTATGAACACAAACCCATATCCAGTTACGAAGATAAGAAGCTGTAACAATTTTATGGGAATTGTCAATACGAACAGAACAATCAAAACTAATCGCACAGACATCGTGATTAGGACCGCAAAGACAAAATGTGCCTCCTTATTGACATGGCAGTCCCTGCAGACTGCAATGTATCTTTGAAGATCTTCAACATTCGAAATCGAAATCTTAAATATGTGACACATGAGGACATCAACAATCCCTGTTTTACATGGAACGCTAGGATTGTTTGGAAACGATTCCACTAGACACATTGAAGGAATTTCTGGTAGCCCATGCATTAAAGAAATAAAAAAATGTCCTCTCACGTACAGCCCACATCTTAGGAAGGGCTTTATCTATGTAAAATATGTGGGATATCTTTTTTTAAATTACTCAGTGGAAAATGTCATGATGTCATTTCTGATTTTAGGTTTCTGGTCGGGACCCAGAAAGAAATGAATATTCAACAGAAATCAAAAGAAATAAAAAATAATAATAATATTAACTTTGACATTATTACATATTGAAAAAACATGTCTTCTGATAGACAAAAGCACATTTTTGAAAATGTTTGAGAAACTAAATAAATACAATGACCTCCAGATAGAAATTATTGGAATATGGCATTGGGTCGTTCTGAATGTTACCAAAGCAAGAAAACAAATATCTGGAACAAAGATTTGACCGCCCTAAAATATGGGAATTGAAAAATCATAATGAATTGTAAAACCCGCTGGTTGCATAGTTTCCTTTTTAAGCAATGGCACGTGGCTGAATAGTAAGAAAATTTTGTTGCCGACCATGCACGCGCGTTCCTAAACACCAACGTCAATGTGTCAGAAAGATGACTTCATGATGCGAAGTGCGATCCACGTGTGTGGCACCTTTGGAATGTACTTTAAAACCATTCCGCTGGTTGGCCTAAGCCTTTTCAGTGAAATTGGGTGGTTGCAAATATTTGGTTTCACGAAGTCGAAAGTCAGCGTAACCGAGGGTGTGAGTGTGCTGGCCTTGTTTACGCCAGATAATCCGGTCTCTACCAGTAACTGTAATTAATGTCCACTCAGCATAGTTGCAATCAGTTAGGCATTTTGGGTGTTGAACAAACACAAATGTGTCTGAGCAGGTGCCTGCAATAGGGATTGCCCTAGCAGACAAGAATACTCGGATATGAGCTGCCAGCCATTACTCACTATGCACTGACCGCAATTATGCTTTCTGAGTCAAATGAAATTCATGTACTTTTCTTTATTTTCGAAATATATATATATATATATATATATATATATATATATATATATATATATATATATATATATATGAGGAAGGGTGAAATAAGCTGGAAAGAATTATGTGCCGAGTGGAAACGCTAAATTATAAAGAATTTTTTTAGACGTGATTGACTCTTGACAATATAATTCATTTGCTTAACGATTTTGCTTTTATCGTTTTCCCGCGTGTCGTTTTTCCAATCGTTGTTAGAAACGTAAATTGTTGCAAGAACTTGAATGCATATTTACAATGAATAATTAAGCAACATATGAACTTTCTATACATTTTCATCTTAGAAAATTGCTTTCTCTTTTAATTAAATTGCCATTTTACAAATCGAAATTATGGTTAAACTCATTTCGATGATCGACTAATGAACTGAGTATCTTTTTGCAAAAGATCCCTTTTGTGTTCGTATAAGCTTTTATTTAAAATCCTCGCGGTCTCTACTATGTATTCATTGTGGCAGTCATTACAGGTTACACAGTAAGTTTCTCCTTCAAGTTTTTTCGTCTTTTTTTTTATTTTTTTATTTTTTATTTTATTTTTTTGTGTGTGTGTGCATGTGTGTGTGTGTGTGTGGGTTGCATTTATTTGTGAGAAAGCTTACTTTAAGATTAGATAAATTCTTTTCACTTGTAGTTGTGAAGGAATTGTTATGTAGGGTAATGTATTTCGTTTCGTTATGTCGGTTTTTAATGTTCATTCTTTTATCTTTTATTTAAAAACTGATGAGGCTTCTGTTCCTCGGTGAATATGAAATTAGCTTAATAGCTGCATTTTTTTATGCCCGAATTCTGGTCAGTCTCGTTACGGTGACAAACTGATGAGCTTAAGTTTTTTAAATGTCTCTCTTGTTTTAGATGTAATTTTGACAAATTTTACGTTGAGTTTGGACAAATTCTTTTGAAAT